CAATGCTTCTAATCTCTCATTTACTACTTTGACAAGTCAAATCTGCCAGTAAACATCAATAAACACTCATATATAACATATCATTCAAAAATCCATTTTCTTAAATCTCAAATATTTCACTAATTACTTAGTTTTAATCATCCTTGAACTTTCCTTAAGCCTCTATATTACTTAAGGTTTCAAAACTTGTCCATAAACTAAAGAATGACTAACTTAAAGGAAACTTACCTTGGCTATGGGAAGAGTACATGAGCACGGGAAGAAGGAGAAGAAGAATATATAACTTTCCCCTTCTTAAATTTTTAATAATGAAATAATTTTAAATTCATTTATCCTTAAAGGATCAAAATGCCCTCTTTATTCATCCATTGTTACTAATTGGTCTTAAACACTATTCCAAATCATTTCTTATCTTTTATCATTTATTCAAATAAATCATCTAATTCTAAATCTTTCCAATAATGTCACTGACCTGATATTTGGGGTATTACAGTTCGCAAACATCATATTAATTTTTTTATAATTTTTAATAGTTATATTAAAAACTTATTATATTAAAAAGTACTAATTTACTTCTAGATAATAAAAAAGATAATAAATTACTACATACACTCTTTTGATAATTATTATTTTAATATATTTATGAATTGTTACTTTAGAGTTTATACTTTGAAATTACTTCATACACTATTTGATTATTTTTTTATTAAATTTATCAATTTATGTTTATATTAAATTCTATATAGTATTAGTATATTTTATCTATAGTTTAAAAAATAAGGTAAAAAATTTGATGAGCTTAACGAGAAATGCGGCGAGCAATGAGTCGATTCGAGCACCAAAATATTTTAATGAGTATGAGTTGAGCACTACCCTACTCATAATCAACTCGCTTGATAAGCACCCCAAATCACATCTATGTTTTTTTAGTTTATAATAACTTTATCTTTATGGCATGTTTTTTTTTCTATCTTTTATGATATGTTTTCCTCTTTCTTTTGACACGCTTTTTTTTATCTTTCTTATCAATCATTTGACCATTCTTTTCGTTTAATTTATTTAGTGTTGGATTTGACATCGTCTCGATTTATCAAGATGATATTTATTTGTTATCATGTTGATATTTCCTGCTTTGGATCCTTATATTAGATTTAGATACATGATTTGTATTAAGAGATAGTTTTTTCACGACACTTGACTCTGATATGGGATTGTTGATGATCTTTCGATAGTTTGATCCCTTATTATAGTTCGTTTACAATTGTAACCAGATCCATTTGTATATATATATTTGTTCGAGTTTTTTGGATATTTTTTACATTTTTCTTGTATATAAGGATGGCAACAGGTCGGGATTTTGTCGACCCGACTCGAAAATTGTATAGCATCCACCCGAATTGACCCGACCCGAAAAATATATATCCTCCATCCGACTCCGATCTAACCTGAATTTTTAGAGTATAAATCTAACCCGACCTGACCTGAGCAGATAAAAATAAAGATTTTATTAAAAAATAATAAATTTTTTAAAGAAAATTATATTATTATCCTTAGGTCAGAGTTTTTTCACCCTCCACCCAAATCCAACCCTACCCCCTCCACTTCAAAAATTTGATCCGATCTGACCTTAACTTAATTTTTTTTAAATCTAACTTTATGGAATCGAATCGGATCGAAACTCATTAAATTCGAGTTAAATTGTCATATCTAAATAAAACTACCTAAACAAACAACTATCCATTTTATGTCTATACCGAAAGAAAAAAAATTACCTTTAGAAAAGAAAAAATCAAGTGAAATAAATAATGTTAATTTGTCAAAATCATGAATAATATGACGAAACATGTTCATACAATAATTTTCTTATTTTTTTTATCGAATGTAGGTTTTCAGGCAGAAGGAGGCGTGACATGGACATGCCAACTCATGACACGCAGAAGATCATTTAAGTGAGGATATTTTATAAATTTATATATTAATAGCGCGTAATCCCACCGTCCATTGCGGTTTTAATATATACTAACCACCAATATCAATCACAATTTTTTTTTCTTCTCAATGATGAATGATTTCGTGTGAATAAAGTGGATTAGATAATAAAGAAATTGTTGTTAGTTTTTAAAATTTTTAGATAAAATATTATAAGTATTAAGAATACAAACATTTAATGTTAAAAGATTATAATTTTAATATATACTAACCACCAACAATGATGAATGAATCATTTGTATATAATTTGAGAAATCCGTATACAATTGAGCTTCACCCAAAGTAATAAAAGATGAAGATTTTTTAACATTCAATTGGAAACTTAAAAGTCTAACAAAAATGAGAACATTTAGCAAACATCAATTGTGATGGTGTGGTCCAGCTACCACCACCGCACCAATTATTTTCTAATTAGTTGGTGGTGTGTCAAAGGATGAAAACTAAAAATTATAATAATAATAATTTGACAGGCTGTATTTATTTAATGTTTAGAGTAAGTTACACGTTTAATACAAAAGTTATTACTTTTTTCTGTTTTGGTATAAATTTTATTTTGTTTTAAAATCATACATAATATTTAATTAGTTTCATATGGTGTCCCACTATTAAGAGTTTAAAAATGATGTTAAATTATCACTATAAGATAATGTCACATCATCATTGAAAAATAAAAAAAATATATATATCATCAAAAATTCTTGTTAATTTTTTAACAGTGTACTGTCAAAATGAAACTTAAATTAAATGTTAGATATGATTTTAAAATCAAATTAAACTTGGATACAAAATAGAATAAAAAATAATAATTTAGATACTAAACATGTAGTTTACCCTACCGTTTAATATCTTATTATTTGTTAATTAATTTTGGATTTATTTACAAATATTTTTGATGTCATCCGAATATTATTCTGAAATTATTATATTTCACCAACAATATGTCAAATAATAACCCATATTTTATTTCCCTTACATTATTATTTTTTATATAAAATTTCCCTTACATTAGATTCGACACAAACTGGTTTTTCTCTTCAATATATAAAAGTTCATTTATTTTAATTTTAACAAATATTTGTCAAAAGGAAAAAGAAAATAAAAAAGTTTCACATGGATTCAAAAGCACTCGTAACGTGAAAAACAATGCATGCGCATCTGCAAACAAAACCACAAATTCAACCCACTTCTTTCTTCTTCGCCTTTCTTCTTTTTAAGTCGCATGCAACTCACGACAAGTAAAAAACAGTTAATATAAATTCTTATTACTTTTGAAGTAGATTAAAATCACTTAAAATACAAAAATATTTTCATATTACAAAAAAATTATTTAAAACTAAAATCAATTCAAATAATTATTATTTTTATACTTATAAATATTGAAAAGAAATAAAAATATTGAGCCAAAAATTATACGAAAATTTATTAAGAAAAACTATGTGTAAAATACGGGTCAAAGACAAGTAATTATACAAGTATGAATACGAACAAGAATCGATTAACAATAACCGTGACAACCAGGGACATAGTTCCCTTAGGGCCCAAGGGGCCTCGACTCCTGTTAAAATTTCTATATTCGATATAATTTTGGTTTAATAGTATTTTGATTCATGCAAAAATAAATATTTAAATTTAAAAATATAAATATAAAAATTTATTAAATATTTAATCAAATAAGGGTCGAACTAAAACATGATAAGTCTGTGTTCTCAAATTTTTGGTCTAATTACAATTTAAGTCATTATAAGTTTAAATATTAGACAAATTAGAAGTTGTCTTTTGAGTTTTGAGTTTTTTTTTTTAATTTAGGGTGAATACAAGGTAATATATGTACAAAGACTTTCAACTATTTGACAATGAACGCTCATACCCCTACATACGTGCTTGAACTCGGGACCTCAATGATAATAAAAATCCCTTAATCAATAAGGTCATTTGGTTCATGCTGAAATTCAAATTTAAATACATAATAAGTATTTATATTTCTCTTAAATAATCTAATATTTCGGCAACTGTCAATATTTAATCCTGGCTTTGTTCTTAGTGACAAGACGTGTATTTTTAAAAATATCATTTTAATAAATAATATTATTTGAGTATCATTTTAATAAATAAATGATAAAAATATAATATTCTAATAAAATATAGTATATTTGATTATTTAAAATATAAAATATTTATTTTTATAATATAAAAATAAAAATATATAAAAAAAAATTGGAAATCAATTCATATAATTATAATTTTTTACACTTGTAAATAATTAGTTATCTAAATATTATAGTTCCGTTTGATTTTTATTGATTTTTTTCTTTGACTTTTTTATCTGAATATGTTCTATTTAAAAATAAATTTTTATCCTAACACTAATTTTAGATTATTTCCCAATCTAACATTATTTTCTGCAATATAGGATAAAAGCACATTTCAGCAAAAAATATGAAAAATAATATACGAATTTTGTAAAAAAAAAACATTAACACACCATCAAAGACATATAATTACATAAGCACATGTCCAGTCGGACAAAGGCAACAACTCATGTATATTAACCTTATTTTTTAATTATTATATTTAAAATTATATTTAAGCATTTAAAAAATCACATATATGAATAATGTGAGATGTAAGTTCATATGACTTTTTAAATTTTACATTATTTCATTATATATGTTTTTAACTGTTTAAATATATATATTTTTAAATATTTATTTATCAAATAATTGAACATAAATTAATTTACGTATTGTCACTTGATTTATATCTATATAATTACATGTTTTCGATGCACATCGTGCACATTTACTTTTTAAATTTGTATAATTTTATTTTATATATTGAATGGGAAATTATTTAAAAATAAGGTATATTTTAGTCAAAAAAGTTTTTCATCTCAGTCTCCTTTGATCCTAAGTTAATCCAGAATAGACGGCGATGAAGAAGGGGGTATATTGGGTTCACTGAAAGTGGGTCCCAAAGAGTCTTTAACCAGAAGGGAAAGGCAGTGGCACATCGAAAGGAGTTTGGGGTTATCCTTCATTTCCACTCTCTCTCCACTTTTAACAATGGGGGTTGAAACGAAAATCCACTACCGACACAGTCTTCCCTGTAAAGCTTCAAACTTGAGATAGTAAAACAAGGCAAAAATATTCAGACATTTCCGCTAAAGGGTACATGGTTTGAGGGAAAAACACAACTTGTGGGAGTGTTCACAAAAAAACCTGTTCTTTTCTCTCTCTCTCTCTGTCTCTGCAATAAACTGGAAGCAGCAGCAGACACAGAGATAGAGACAGAGAGAGATGTTGGGGAAAACGGTATGTCTAAGTTAAGATTTGGTTAATCTCTCTCTTTTGTCTACCTTGTTTTGTGTAAACAACAGAAGAAGCTGATTCGGGGATATTGTGAAACAATTTCCAAAGATTTTGTAAGTTATTCTTGTTCCTCTCTGTCTAAATGGAAATCTGGTGCTATAACTGTTAAAAGCTTGTTCTTTTTCTGGATTTGGGTTTTTTTTTTTTGAAAGATAGTGTGTTTTAATCAGATTTGGCTTGATGGGTGTTGCTTAAATTCTCATAATTCTTATTGTACTATTCTATGTCAGCTAAGAAACTTGGATTTTTGGGTGATTTTCTGCTGTATTTTCAGTTGGTTGCTGGTTGCTTTGATTTGTCTTTGGGGTGATTGTTGGTGTTGAATTTTGAACTTGTGAACTGAGAGAGGTTGCCGAGGCGGTGGTGGCGGCCTGAAAATTTTAAATTCTATTCTATAGTTAATCTATTTTGTACCTTAAAATTTTATAAACAATTTTCTAACATAAAATCTCGTGTCCAACAAAAGATGAGTGCATTATGTTTCTGCAATTTACTTGTAGATCCTGCAGATAGGGGTTTCATAGTTGTCAGAAATTGCGATGTTTTATTAGTTTTGACTAATGAGCTTCTTAATGTAAAATCTTTTGCAGTTCAGGGTAGCCATGGGAACTCTTGCTATCGATTTCGATACCAAGGGTGTGGATTCGGATATATACCGCTCTTTGGGATTCAAAGAATTGGGTAAAGGAGTTGTTGGAACTCCACGGATTCTATCACTTCTTTCTTCGCTTCTTGAGAAATCTGTCCAAAAGAATGAGACCGAATCCGAGACAATGAACTTTAAAGATAATGTTGCAATCTTTCATGGCTTAAGAGCTCCCACCATAAGCATTAAAAATTATATCGATCGCATCTTCAAGTATGCTGGCTGCAGTCCTTCGTGCTTTCTTGTTGCGTACATTTATGTGGATAGATTTATTCAACAAACTGCTGTGCATTTGACTTCTCTTAATGTTCATCGACTCCTTATAACGAGTGTATTGGTAGCCACAAAATTCATTGATGATGCGTAAGTGTTCACCTTTCTTGGGTTGGAATGCAACATTTCCTTTTGCATTGTTGCAGTTTATGTATCGATACTCGTATTAAGCGTCGAGGTCGGCCTTAGATATCCTTTGAACACGGATTCCCTTATGAAGACGAATTAGCTCCTATAGGAGAAAAGTAGTTTCCATTTTTTTCATTTGATTATCTTTTTTGCAGGTTTTTCAACAATGCATACTACGCCAGAGTGGGCGGGGTAACCACAGGTGAGCTGAACAGGTTGGAGATGAGTTTTTTGTTCAGTCTCGATTTCAGACTTCAGGTAACCGTTGATACATTTCAAAGATATTGTTCCCAACTGCAAAAGGAATCTTCGGACGTTCATCAGATCGAACGGCCAATCCGACCATGTGGAATTAGAGATAGTTGGACGAGCAAAAGTGATACACAATGTGCTCCGACAATCTCAAGATGAAAGATTAGCAAAATCCCAGGCGTTGCATTATATATACCGAAGCCGAAAATGTAGCGTTTTAGCGACGATTCTTGAAGAAACAGCAAGCTTGCTCCTTTTACATAATTTGTAAGCCATTAGTTAGCATGATTGTTTTATTTCTTAGCTTGCATCTTGTGTTGCCTTTTTTAGTGCAAAAGGCTTCGTTGTATATTAAAGATTTGAACTTTGTGATCATGAAATGTACCAAGTTTTGGTATTTTTAGGAAAATTCTATGATGCTCGATGAACATAACTAACGATGAACACCGTTGAGTGTTATTATTTAATTTATAAAAATTTAAAATTCTAAATGATTCAACGTATAATTATAAATTAATTAAAAAATTAAAAGTAAATTATTTAAACAAGAAAAAATATTTATGGTTTTTAATTTAGGGTGATATTTGATCTAATTATTGTTAAAAAATTATAAAAAATAATATAATTAATATTTTATTTTGAATGATTTATATTTAAAATTTTAATTAATTTATAATTATACATTGAATATTTTAAAAATTTAATTTTTATAAATTAAATTAACGATGTTCAACAGAACTCATTATTAGTGATATTCGTTAAATATGAGATATTCATCTATTTCTTTAAATATCTTTTTGAGGTAATTTTAGATATAAGTAAAAAAAAAAATCACATTCCTTTACTGCAATCAATTCCCATATTTGATAAGATTTTGAAGCAATAAACATTGACATGTAATTGCTTTAGATGATGAGATGATGATTACATCAAAAGCTGGGAATTTTAAAAGCCAATCTTAATAGTACCCTTTGAACATTTTAGGTACTTTTAAGTTTATTATTGTTCGGTTCATATTTATTACAAATTTTATAATCATATTAATATTTGTTATTTAACGTTATGTGTGTTCATATTTATTTATTTATGTAACGTTTAAAAGGATATTAAATCTTAAACCAAACATATTTTATAAATAGAAATATATTTATTATTCATAATTATATAAACTTGTGTTAATTTAACGTTGGTGACCTACAAATGAATTAAACGATCTTAGTAGTTAAAATATTATTATTATCATTGAGATCTTTGGATTTGAGCACAGCATATATAGAAATATAATCGTTCATTCTTAAATGATTAAAATTTTTTAAACAAATATTTCATTAAATTCGCCTCAAAATTATAAAATAATATTCACAACGTACATAAGTGTAATCTCAAACCTTGAATCAGCCTATGACAATACTCTTGAAGCCGAATTTGGAGTATACTACAGTGTTACCCTATCTCAATCCCTTTCTCTATATAGGGGTGTTCAAAATTTGATTTTAACCGGATTTATCGATCGAATAGAATTTTTTTTGTTAATCGGTCGGTTAACGGTTAAGAATTTTTTTAAACTTCGGTTATCGGTTAATTTAGTTCAAAATTAGTAATTAATCGAATTAACCAATATTTTAAATATTTAATCTTATGAGTGTTTAAACTTTGGTTTTAACCAAATTAACCGACAGAATTAGTCGAATTAATTAAAAATATTAAATATTAAATATATATTATTTATATATTAAGTTTACTTCGGTTAATTCGGTTAAACGGTTAAACGACTGATTAATTGAACTTTATTCGATTCTGTTACAAATTTTCAGAAAATTTTTTACTCGCCTAATGGTTAAGAGGAAAAAAATTTGGTTAACGATTTTTTGATAATTCGATTCGGTCGGATAACTGAACCGGCCGATTGAACACCCCTACCTCTCCATTCGAAATTTCCTATTTTGGTAATACTGACACATGAGAAAAAGAAATGCACTCTTTGATCTACTTTTTCCATAGCATGATTTGTAGTCATTCATAATCACAAAGAAATAAATAAAAGGTACAAATCGAGCGACTTCAGTGGTAAATGAATTATTGCTATTATTTGAGGTCTTGAGTTCGAGCACCAAGAATGTTAGAGGTGTGAACGTTCAATATCAATTGATTTGAGAGTTATATTTGAACAAATGATGCATTGTACTTATCTGAGTGAAGACACTTATTTTTGTCCACCTAAGTTAATATTATTACATAATATTATAAATTATAATATATGTAAATTTACATTTCATTTTTATTTTTTTACAGGGCTCAACAGTGGACCAAGCCCAGGAGCACGCCAAGCCAGTACAGCAGCCCACCATGCTAGGGTTTGAAACCCTAGCTTTCCCTTCTCTTATCCCAACCGCCAAAAACAATGACCGTTGGATCTAGATGAGATCCAACGGTCCACAGTAGACCCCACTTTAGAGTTTCAACCTTTGCTACATGGTCGCATGTCTCTCACCCTAATAGCCCGCATCTTCCGACGCAAGGATCTCGACAACCACCAACAGCATGCACAGATCTCGCACCAACAAACAACCGAGATAGAGTTCTATTAGGAATCAAATGCTAAAATCTTAGGCTATAAATATTCGATGTAATCGAACACAATGGGGTACGAATTTACACAAGATCACAAGATTACACGAGGAAAAATCTAGAGAAATACAAAACAAATTTTGAAGCTTTTGTACCGATTTCGAAGTTAAATAAAAGGTGAGAGGCTTTACCTCGTTCGGTTTATGATTTTGCATGCATGGTTGGTGGTCTTCTTTTCTCTGTTTTGTGTGGAACGCCGATGAACAAGGGGGCTTCGAAGTTTCGAGCCCAGATCTACCCCCGAGGCTTGCTCTTTTAAAAAAATATTTTTGATTTTTGAAGTGGGGATAAAAAAAAGCTTTCGGGGTTTTTTTAAAAAAATAATTTTTTCTGCCACCGATGACGGCGGTCGACGAGGTGGCAACGGTGGTCGTTTTCTGGGTTCCTGAAGAACCACGGCCTTTGTTCTTCAATCTGAAGAATAGTTGAGAGAAAGCATTTTAATAGGGGTTTCGGTTTAAAGAGAGGACAAATGAGATTTTTTAAAAAATGTTGGCATTTATAGTTGATCCATGAACCCTGGGCGACCCGTGTTTTGACTCGATCCAAAGCCTAGGGTCCGCGTGTTTTCTTGTGAAAGTGGGGAAATCCCCATTTAGTCCCTCCAATTTTTAAATCATTTAATTTTGCCCCCTAAATCCAGTTTCTTTACATTGAACCCTCTTAAATTGAGCCCCAATTTCATTTTTATTTCAATTCAATCCCCTGGTATTTTTAATTTCTCCCTTACTTTCATTTAAATATTTTATTATATATATATATATATGTTTTTTAAAACTATTTTTATTTGGTTATTTTTTTATTTAAATAGTATATTTATTATTATCTATATTTAATTATATATTTTCATTATTTATTATTTATATTATTTATTTATTTTTCTTTTTTTCTTTTTTTATTATTATTTATTTTAATTTATATATATATATATATATATATATATATATATATATTATACCACTACTATATTTTATCATTATATATATATATCCTTTTAATATGTTATTTATACGTTTATTATTATTATTATTATTATTATTATTATTATTATTATTATTATATATGTATATATATTTTTTATTTGATTTTTTATTGCATTATATTATATATATGCATATGTTTCTTTTTTTTACTTTGTTTATTTATTTTCAATTCTTTTTTTCTTCTATTTTTATTATTCTCGTTATTTTTTACTTTACTTTTATTTCTTTGATGTTCATTTTATTTTATTTTATTTTGTCATTGTTTATGTACTGATTGTATATAGATTGTCACTATTTTCTTTATTTTATTTATTTATTATTATTTTCCTTTTTCTATTTTTATTTTTATTCCCTTTTATTTTCTTTATCTTTTTATCTTTATTTTCTTTGTTTCCTTTGTTTTTCTTTATTTTATTTATTTTCATTTTCTTCCTTTAACACATTTCTTGATTTCTTAAGGGTTCACTTTTAATCAATCAGTGGTAAGTTTTTGGATCGTCATTTTACCTTTTGATTTAAATTTACAACTTTCTTAATAAGGACAACTGGAAATTACATAGTACCGAAAGGGTAGATCAAGGGTGATAACCCTTCCTTAACTGTAACCGACTCCCGAATCCGACACATATTTGGTAAGACGCATATCATGTAAGAAATAAGGTATTCGATCAACCCATTTTTCATAAAATAAATTATCGGTGGCGACTCCTAATCCATTTTCCTAAGTCGAAGCCCAATTTCGGGCCCACTCGAAAGATGGTTCCGACAGCTTGGCGACTCCGCTGGGGACAAGTAAGTGAGTCAGGCTAAGGTAATTTCCTGTTATCTTTTTAACGAAAAGGGTAAGTTTAAATTTTAAGGTAACATTTCGATCCTTATTGCTTACTTTTGATTATATTTTCGAGTAAATAGTTGTACCAACCGTTTTCTAATGATTTCAGCATTCCAAACTCATTTTTCACTTAAGGCTCTAAACCCGAGCTCCGAACCCGTTTTTAAGTGGGGGTGAAAGCGACGACTTCGTGTGAATTTATTCACCGTATGAGCCTAGAAAGTAACCTTCGGGATTCATATACCTTATGCCTTCGTGTGAATTTATTCTCTGTATGGGCATAAGGGAATGTTTCCTCCCGAGTTTAACTTAGTCCACACAAGCTTGTAATGGGCTTAGGACTAAGGGTCTGACAGGCCCAAGGGGGCACCGGCAAGGAGAACTCGGGTACCATTTTTGAGAACCTAAACCAGGAGACTATGGAGAAATAGAGCCTGCCCCAAAACCCCATTTCAAACCTTAGAACACTTTTACCCTAACCATGCTATTATTTTTTTTCTCTTACTTTTCTTTATTTCTTTCGTCATTTTTTATATATTTATTTATTTTACTAACTTTTTGCCTCTGTGTTTGTTTTTTCATCATTTGCATCATAATAAGAGGCCATTGATCCCTAAAAAGCGTTTGTTACACACAAAATAATCTGAATTAATGGACAAAGGTGTTGTAATATAAGAGATCAAAAACTCCGAGGTACGACTATGTGTTGGGATTTTCAGAAGCTCGATTCGACAATCGGAACGGTTTGTAAAGAGGGGTCGGAATGGTTTTTGAGTTTAGGGAGTAAAGAGATTGAAAGATAGAAAATTGCACAGCGATTTAAAGTGGTTCGACTTTCTAAACCAAAGTCTACGT